ACCCAAACCAACCCAAACCAAACAACAACACTCCCGTTTTGTCACCTTGGACTCTGTAAAAAAATAAATTGTTTTTTGTTTTTCAAAAAAAAAAAAAAAAAAAAATCATTCATGTCTGTCCTACCAGAAAAAAAAACCAATAGGATAAATAATTAGTGTACGCGTCAATTGTATCACAAAACTTTTTTAAAAAAATATGTCTTCCAGAGGATCGAACAAAAGAAACAAACAAGATGATTCTGGTGTCGCTGCTGGGTAAGTGTTTTAAGGATGGTGGTGGTGGTTATCGCCCACCACCTGTCGTCGTCACTCTAGTTAAAATTCACGCACATGTGAAAACTTCGTGTTTTGATCGCTTTATATTTATTTAGCCAATCAATATCTGATTGGATTGATGTGGAAGAGTTATTTGGAATCCTTAAAAGGATTCACCCACAACAACCGTCGGTCCCATTAAGGACCAAAGAGTTATTTGAGAATTTAAAAATTTTATGAGGTTATAATCAACATCAATTTTTTAACTAATTTTCCATTTATCGCTTTACATTTTTATAATTAACATGTTTATATGTAATTTTTTAAAAGAATAATGGTGGTTATGGCAGAGTATTCATTGGAAGTATGTATATTTATCTTTGAAATTGGCTTTTACTAAAAAATTTTTTGAAAAAAAAAAAAAAACAAATTATTCATTTTGGATTATAATTTAAAGATCCAGATGACAACTATGACAACAACAATAATAGCAACAACAATAATAGCAACAACAACAACAATAACAATAATAGCAACAACAACAACGATGATGATAATATCAAGGTTATAATCAACATCAATTTTTTAACTAATTTTCCATTTATTGCTTTACATTTTTATAATTAACATGTTTTATATGTATTTTTTAAAAGAATAATAATGATGATAGCAGAATAATTGTTTATAGTATGTTTATTTGTCTTTCTTATTAAAAAATTTTTTTTGAAAAAAAAAACAAATTATTCATCTTGGATTATAATTTAAAGATCCAGATGACAATGACAACAACAACAACAACAATAATAGCAACAACAACAACATTAGCAATAATAGCAACAACTACAACAATAATGACGATGATGATGATATCGAGGTTATAATCAACATTAATTTTTAACTAATTTTCCATTTATCGTTTACATTTTTATAACTAACATGTTTATATGTAATTTTTTAAAAGAATAATGATGGCGATAGCAGAATATTTATTGATAGTATGTATATTTATCTTTGAAATTGGCTTTTACTAAAAAATTTTTTGAAAAAAAAAAATATCCATTTGGATTATAATTTAAAGATCTAGACAACAACAACAACAACAACAACAATAACAATAATAGCAACAACAACAATAATAGCAACAACAACAATAACAATAATAGCAACAACAACAACAACAATGATAATAATGATGTAAGTATCAGTTTTTTAACTTTATTTTTTCAATTTATATGATCTTTTAAAAGAATGATGATCAAGATAACCAAATAAATAATTTATTTTTGTTTTTTTGTCAATTTATATGTTTGTTTTTTAAAAATCTTACAGAGATATAACCTGCGAGTCAGGGTACCAACTAATTATAGCATTGGCTCATACAGAAAACGTCGTCGTCGAAGTGTAAGTATATACTGAAACATTAATAGTAGACATAACATTTTATAATTTTTTTTTTATATTTATAGGGACCGTCATCATCATCATCAACAATATCACCACAACCACAACCACAATTTAATGACAAGGTATATATAATATAAACATAATTATATTTTAAATAAAATATTAATATTTTTATTTTATTTTTTATATATAGGAACAATGTGCAATGTGTATATTGCATTGTCCGTAATAATAATAATAATAATAATAAAATATAATCTTATTTCTTAATTTTAAATATCATTGTGTGGAATTTGATTTACATTTTCCAAGTGGTTTATGTTATTGTTTAAGTGAAGATACTAATTTGATCCTTGCACATAACAATTAATTACTTATGTTGGACTAATAACGAGCTTGCTACATTTGACTTTGGCAAGTGCTACTTGGGTAGTAGTATAAATAAATAATTATAGATCTCAGAATTCCTGTAGTACTTGGTCTGCTTTATGTAATTGATAGCATAAACGATCTACACCTATATTAATATAATTGTAAAAAATAATTATTGTTATTTCTAAAAAAAACAATTGAAGAAAATTGTTGATTATACTAAAACATTAAAACAGATTTTTTTATCTTAGAATTAATGCACAATGTAGTCTTCTGAGATTTTTGCTGAATGTATCATTTGATCTAATAAAAAAATTTTAAAATATATAAATATGATAGATTTTGGACTGAGTTTGATGTATCAAAAAAAATAATTATTACAACTAGTGATTTTGATTTCTAGTGACTTTGTCACCTGTGTACTGATACACCAATATTAAATTTATATTTTGTTATACATATTAAAAATAAATTTTTTTTACAACAAAAAATTTGTAATCATTCATGGCATGCTTCACATGCTCAACTATAACTTTTTTAAAGCATTATATTGTTTATTTGGAAGAGTACACACATTTTTATTTTTTTTAGCAAAATAATTGACAAGTGTTTACAAAAAAAATAATTGGAAATAATGATTTAATACCAAATTTAGTTAAAATATTACATCAATAGTTCATGGTGTGGATTAGATTTTTATCATCAAAGATTTTTAAAAAAATCAGTGTTTTTAATATTTGATGTCAACACAGCAAAAATTGTTCACTACAATGTTTTACCTTTTGATTTTGCTCTTGTGCTTCCCAAAAAAATCAATTTAATAAAGCCGAGGAACAAAGACCATTTTGATATCAAATATAAATATAATAATAAATATAATAAAAACAGCCTGAAAAAGATTTCCTTTTTGGAACAACAGTTGGTTAGTGAGTTTTAAAAGGCTTTCACAAATAAGAAAAAAATCGGCAAGATTTTCAAAAAGTTTTATATTAAAAAAAAAATTATTCCAAAATTAGAAATTTTTTTCATGCCATTATATTATAGTGTTAATAAAAAAAACATTTAATAATTCAACTAAACCTTTTTAAAAAAGCCATCTAAACTGACTATCACTTGTGTGATTGATTCAATCATTAACACTAAGAAACAAACAATTTCAGAATTATTGAAATTAATGCCATTACAAAGGTGAAATAAAATAATAATTTTTTAAATATAATTAATTATACACCTTTAATTTAATCATTTTCTTGTATGTGAATGCTCCATATACTAAATATTCATGATGGACACGATTATTATTTAATGTATTTGATATCACCATTGACATAACAAACAATTGCATCACCCAGGTAGTAATGATACCAAGGCCATGCAGAAATGAAACTTTTAATAATATGTGTCTACTCAGATCTCTGAGTAAACAAAATAAATTACTTTTCCTGATTATCAATTGTGGTTGCTCATGAATAATAAATCTGATGTTGATCACAGGTGTCAGATTTAATTGAATTTTCCTGTCACAAACATGCAGTCAGGTGCTTTCACACGCTTCAGCACCATGAAATTTTTTCCATAGTTGAAACACCCCACATGTTGGAAGGCTTTGGACAAAACTTTCCTTATCTTCCTCTAAGACCAGGCTTGGCTGTTACCCTATGGGCATTGATTGCTGATAGCTGGTGCTTGTGTGATAATTGCTTTGTGTTATTGCCACACTAGAATAAAGTTGGTGTTAAGACTGGCTTGAAAATTCAGCAACTCAGGAGGTTGCAACCTGGATTGTTGTTTTGGATTCTCCCTGAATTCGGAGTTGAGTTCTGGGTTGTTGTCTTTTTGGGGCATGCCTACTCACCAACAATCCTACCCCCATTTGAAAAACAAATTTAGTTGGTCAAATAAAAATTAAAGAAAAACAGAAAATGATTAATTTATAACACAACATACCAAAATCTGAACCATTTTATGACCTTTTCTTGTTGGCCATATTGCTGACAAAGATGTATATAATCATGTGATAATTTTAAGCTACAGGACAGGGGACTGACTGGGCAAAAACTCCCTACCCAAAATTATTAAATTGGTTAGTATCAGAGAAACAGAATTTAGGAAAGTGATTATATAAAACAAACACTATTTTACAACTTTCCTCTTAACATCAGAGTCCAAATGCAATTTCAGGGCCACAAACCCTGCTCTGAATTGCGACCTCCTGTGCTTGAACGAGCTGCAGATTCTCTTGATATTCATCCAGAGTTGTGACAGCTTGGTCACAGTGCCAACCTTACCCTAGAGGTGGGATCGTTGCAGGCAACTTTTCATCCAACTTGCCAGCAGCCTTCTCTGGTCTGGTTGCTGTGAGTGAAGATTAGTGAAAGCGTCATTGACGATTGATGCAGTCTCAGTAAACTCCAGGGCCTTGCCCCCCCTGGAATTCAACATCATTGTATCATCGGGAGCACCGTGGTCAGATTAGCCTTTCTACATGAGGAAGATGCGAGAATGACTGTATGTGCTCAAGGCAGCGTGCATGCTTCAACGCCTGCCAATTTCCTGTAATCAAATGTTGCATACTCAAAATGTTTCTTTTTCAACGGTGTGCTGCCTTGATATCTTGTGATTATAATAATATAATAATATTATTATTGATTACGAAAAGTAAAACATTATCAATATTATCAATGAAAATCTTGTAATTACCCAATAAGATCTGCTCCGCGTTTTGATTTCCAATTAAAATATTTATAAACTAAAATAAAAATATCAATACAAATAAAAAATAGTACCCCTGGTTAGTTATTAACACTTCTTCTTTAGGAGACCCAAACCAAATCAAACCAAACAACAACGTTCACCTTGGACTCTGTCAAAAAATAAAATTGTTTTTGTTTTTTCAAAAAAAAAAAAAAAAAAAAATCATTAATTTATTCATCCTTGTTTTTTTTTTTGGTAGGACAGACGCGAATTGGTTAACTTTTTTTTTTTTAAACTAATAAATTTTTAAATTTAACATGTCGAGAATCGGCAATAAAATAAGAAAAGCTGATACAGAAGACCCAAATAAGAGAGAAAGGTAAGCGTTTTAAGGATGGCTATTGCCCACCACCCGTCTTTTATATACCTTCAAGATTAATTGATTAATCTTTAACGCATTAATGAATAGTTGATTTGACTAATTTGATTTGCAATAATAATGATTTATAGGCACGGAGAACTTATTTTATCTGATATCACAAATGTTCAGAATTCAAATAATGTTGATTTATTGGTTATCGTGAATAACTATTGCAATAAACCAACAACATCACAATTTGAGTAAGTTTGGTAAAAACAAGGATTGTGGGAATTGCTTAGTAATAGTATAGCTATTGATATTGTTTAGTAAAATTTCTTTTCATCTGTTATTCAGTCCAGCCAGAAGCTACATTTTAGATCTGACGCCTGAATCAAAAATTCGTAAAGAATTTAGTAGCGATGATTGGTCAATTGTAATTGAGGACAACAAGATAACCATGACAGATTATTCCTCTGAAATATCCACTATAACTGACAAGTTGTTTGGTTTAGATGGAGCTAAAGTAGGAAAAACATTAATTTAAAATATTCCGGTTTATTAATAACTGATTCTGATTTTATAAAATTCAAGGGGCTGAAAAATATATCTGTAGTCCGAAAAATGTTAGAAGATGTGAAAAATGTTCCAGAACCTATACATAGTTCCTCCTATGAAATAAAAAATTGGGATAAGATAATTAGATGGATTAGACATATAATAGAACCATTGTAAGTTGGTCCCTATTCACTGTTATATGTAATGTACAAATTTGTGCATCAACCTTATTGACTTTATCATTATATAGTTTGGATGCATTTGAATCACGCAAAAGCCCACTATCTGCTGATTGTCACGAAAGAGAGTGGTTCGGTGATTATATATCACCACTAATCACTGGAGCAGTGTTGGCAAATCTGTCCAAATACCCCTTGTCCCTATTGTCCAATTTGTGTCCAATTTACTGTATTAGGTAATTTGGACTAATAGTTAATGCGGCATTTGGACAATTGGACAGGACAAATCCAAATAAAATTTAATTGGACACCTAAAAATGCCAACCCTGCACTGGAGTATTAAAACTTGATGGAATTTGCCATGTCCCTTGGTATATTCTTTGGAGATAGTCTTTTTTTTTTTTTTTTTTCCAAACTTTCTGATTAGAATTATCGGCTTGATTCAATTCAGGGGTGAAATAAGCGTGTTGGCATCACAAAATTGTCAGAATTCCAAAAAAGATGTTCTGACAATGACGGTGAGCTGTGGGCATATGGTAGATATGTTATGCTCGTATGAAGACCATGAAATATTATGTTTATTAAACAGTGGTGGGCCGTATGAATCAGATCTCACTAAACATGCATCTGATGAGTTTCATCTCAAAAGAATGATGAAAGACATGTTAGATGCTTTAATCATCAAATTTCATGAAGCCACGATGGATGATTCTGACCTTTACGTTTTAGGGGTTCAGGTACAATTTTTACAAGAATTAATTTATATAAAATACTAAATAATGAGTCCTATTCTTTTTGTTTTAGCTTTACTTAAATAGGGTATCAATTTATACTATGAACAAACGAAAATTGTACAATTTTCGTCTTTGTCGAAGATTTTCTATGCCTTTGACATTCACGTCATATCATGGTTTAAAAACGGCGATCAAGTGTGCATGGAACTTAAGAGTAAGTTTGTACCCTATCAAATAATTATACTAGTATGTTCCATTCACTTATTTGATTTAATTATTTAGGGATTGATAAATAACTTGACGGATAAGCTTGACGACCTTATTAATCTTGATATTGGATCTCCCCCTACAAGGAATTCTCAAAACATTATGAAAACACCATCTTCACCACCAAGAAAAAAGAAAATCAAAACATTTAAAGATTAAAAATAATAACAATAAGTTACAAGTATTTCCTGGTACATCTGTTATATAGTAAATATGATGGTTAATTTTTTTCGTCATGTTAATATTTTATCTTGCAAATCTAATTAAATAAATTGCTAAATTCATGAATAAATCATATCTCATTGCCAAATCTAAAATAATCAAAATTACATTCAAAAACATTGGGTTCTTTGAATATTAATTAATGTTAACAGAATTAGGATTTAACGCTAATTTGTTAGTCGAAATACCTAATTCCGAACCAAATCTTTTATTTCTATTTTTACTTTATTTCTTATATTTCATTTCTTATTTTATTTTTTATTCATATTTTTATTATTTTTATTTGTATAATGTCGAAATTAGTTAACTTTATTTAGAAATTAGCAATTAAAGTGCGATATCGTGGCTAGAATGCTAGATTGCAATGAAGTTGTTACTAATCAATTTAACTGTATAAAAGAAGCTCAAATTCGACTTGCTTGTAAAATAACTTTGTCTTAAAGTTTTATAATAAAAGTTAACCTAGTAATAAGTTAATAAATTAGTTTCGACTAAATAAAACATTTTTCTTAAATCACTAAACACAAAATTATTCGCTAATAAAACTAATTAGTTAGTAGCCAATTCATTCTGATCCACATAATCATAAATTTTACATTGTTATCATCAATTAACACGCTCTCCCAAACAATAATTGGTGACATTAATATTGAAAAGACATCTGGTAATAATCACAAAAATTTGTCATGATAATTGTGTGTTTAATATATTTTAGAAGATGTAATATGTAAATTATTATTAGATTTATTTGGCATCATTTTTATATTTTATTATTATATTAATTTATTTATTGTTATTATTATTATTTTTATATGGGAATAGTTCTATATATCATTTAAGATAACAAATGGGATATTATAAAACTGATTACATTACAATTGTGATAATAATGACTAAATTTGATCCCTGAAATCTTTGGTAATACCAACGTTCACTTTGTCTGGTTTTGTTTTGGTATGCCCCATATGTAAATTGTATTGTTTTTATCTTGAACTTTTCAAATCTTCTAAAATATCTTTTGCACCTTTTTCTACCAAAATTTTTGCCAGTTCTTTACCAAGTTCTTCTGCTGCAACAATATCTTCAACTACTTTTTTTATCTCAGCTCGAATAATTTCTGATCCATCAACTCTTGCTATCAGTCCATGTATTCTTAATTCACGTCTTTTCCCATTGCCATCATTAACATCTTCTATTAATTCAGTTTCTACACCAATTGGAACACTACATCCTCCTTCCAATGATCTCATCAATGCTCTTTCAGCAATACATTTTAATTTTGTATCATTATCATCTATTACTGAAAGAAGTTCAATCACATCTTTATCATCAGCTCGGCATTCAACACCCAATGCACCTTGTCCAACTGCATGTAGAATAATAGATGATGGGAGAATCTGAGAAATTCGATGACTAAATCCTAATCGCAAAAGCCCTGCAGCTGCTAAAATAATTGCTGTGTATGGTCCATTCTCGTCATCTAATTTTGACAAACGTGTATTTCTAAAGTAATGGTAAAGATAATAATAAATGGTTAATTATAATAATGATGATCTAAAGTTTAATTATAAAAAATCATAAAATCCTTCTACTTACAAATTACCTCTCTTAATATTATTTATCGTCATGATTTAAATTATATGCATGTAATATTATTGATAAATAAAGAAAAATGTTTATTAATATATATGTGCATGTAATTAAAATAAGATTTAATCTAAAAATCTGCATACAACACTCTGAAATATCAAATCTGGAAATACTGCTTTTAATTGTGCAGATCTTCTAACACTGCTTGTTCCAACAATACTACCCTTTGGCAATTCATTTATTGTTTTATAAGCTAGACCAGTTTTAATTATAACAGCATCTTTTGGATTTTCTCTTTTTGTAATTGCTCCAATTATCATTCCCTCAGGAAGTTTTGTTGGCAAATCTTTTAGACTATGCACTACCAGATCCACACTTTTTTTAACAAGTTCGTCTTCCAACTCTTTGGTAAATAATGCCTTCTCGCCAATTTGAAACAATGGTTTGGAAAGGATTTGATCTCCAGTTGTTGATCTTGTTATAATTTTGAAAGAGTAGGTTGGATATGCTAATGATAATGCCTTTTTAACTTCCTCTGCTTGAATTATTGCAAGTTGAGATTTGCGACTACCAATTACAAAAGTTTTTGTTGATATTGTTGTATCAGACATTTTTTAATTTTTTCCATTAATCAAAAATTTTTTTAGGATTTTCTGTATTTCGCATATTTTGCAGGTAATTCGGACATTTTCCGAACAGGCAAAACCTTTATCCATTGCCTGTAGAGAGGGATATATTATAATTATCCTACCCATAAGTTTGTTGATCATAGAGTGTGTTATCCGGACAAAATCCCGGATATCAACATCAGAGATATCCATGCCATACACCCCGAAAGGCGGAAGTTATTCAATGGATAAAAGGATTTGCCTTTCGGAAAATGTCCGAATTAGGTGATATTTTGTCATAAATATTTAGACACCAGAAAAATTTCCGTCACAATGATTGGTCTATTGAATCTAATAGGTCCTTCACAACATAAAAATTCAAATAGTATCAATCCATTCTCAAATGAAAGAATACCTGGTGTTTTTTTTTTAGAAATGACACAGTAATAATGTTTAGTATTTACTTAAATCAATAGAAAGTTGTTAAACATAAAACAAATATGAAACAACAAACAAGTATCTGGCAAAAAATATGCCTCAAGATTCTTTTGAATACTAGCTATGATGCATTTTAATTCAGCTTTAAAAAATTTTTGATGTTTTTTCATTTATGATCCATGTATTATAAATAGTGATCTTGAGTATCTACTCCACTAAAAACATTGTATCTATACTTGCCACCCACACTCAAATCCTTAAAATCTAAGGCTCTGCACAAGCCAGCATGACTTGAAAAAATAAATGATGGCTTGAGCCAAGCCAAGATTATAAACAACTGACTCAGCTCAGGCTCGGCTTGGCTTGATTAAGATGATCAATGGTTATGCAAATAAAAAATATTATTGTTATAGACCGAGTAATAATTAATTTTTAATTTCTAACATTATGTGTGTACTCTCTTTATTTATTATTTATTATTTTTTTTTTTTTATCAAGTAACATGAAAATAAAGAATTCTTTATTTTATTATGACAAACAAAGAGTTCTTTATTTTTAATAGATACAAAAATTATTAGAATGAAAGAATGAGAAATTAGAAAATATTATATATAAGGCATGAAACCATATTGTTCTTGGTGACAAGCTTTAAAACTTCTTCTTGACTATTCATTATTAATATCGCTTTTCGTCTGAATGTAAAAAAAATTAAGGCCATCACAAGGATTTGAGGTATAACGTGAGTTTGCATGATTGGCCGAAATGTGACCTTGTGACATTAATGTTTGCCCACCGATCTTTCCAAAATAAATTCGTGATATGGAACTTTAAGTCCTAAACGGTAGGAAGCCTCGGATTTTTGGGACCGGGCTCCAAAAGACTGACGATAATAATAATAAAACGTGTCTTGTAAATTCAAACAGTGTGTGTGTGATCTTGACTGATTATGATCATTATTCATACATTCCTTCCTTTTAAAAAAAATATTTTAAAAATGAGTTCCATGAATTTGAACAGTAAAAGATGTTGTAAAGAATCACAAGTTTGGACCATTTTATCAAATATTATATAATTACGGCTATATGTTATGTGTGTGTCTTAATCATTTGCGGTTTTTACGTCTTCTAATATATATTCCTTTCATGGTTTTCAACGAGTTTAGGCGCGCCAATCATAATCATGGGCATTATTTGATGGATAATTGGCATATATTCCTTGGCCATTTGGCTGATAAAATTTCAATACAGTAAACTAAATCATTGTTCCATGAAAGGGTCTTCGTGCGAGGAGAGATATTTTTTTTTTATATTTGTGGAGAATTAATTTGAAACAAGAATAACTTATATCGTCTTTGTTAGAACTGTACAATAACTTTTTTAAATAAAGAAAAAAATAAAGAAAAAAAAATGTAACGAAAAAGACGCGAAATTCATCACAATTTGATTTATTCGACAAATGTGGTGATCAAAAAAAAAATTTTTTATTAATATTAATAACATTAATTAATTAAAAAAAAAATTCACAAAGGATTCTAAATTTATATATCAAAGGATTTTAATGTGACACGAATTTCTATTAAATATGACAAGGGTTTCAACAACGTAAACAATAAATATTATCATCATGTACATAAAAGAACACACGGACGGATTGATTTTTTTTTTATTAAAAAAAAAAAACTATCAATATTATTATTATCTGTTATCATTATTATTATTATTCTTGCAGACAAAGAGGTATTTATATATTTACTATTTAAATTTTTCATTCTTTATTCTTAAAATTGTTGCCATTTTTTGTGCTTTTACCTATCTTTTATCAATTAATTGTGTAATAATACTTTATCTTCATTACATTCATACTTCCATCCATCCATCTAGGTGTATGAATCTCCGGCTTATTATCATCAATAAAAATATATTCTTTAAAAGATAAAAAAACCCAACTCATTATTTATAAAACCAATAATACACCACCACCCATCCACCCACCCACCCATTCATTCATTGTTTTCGAGGCCCGGTGCTTAAACAATTTTCTTTTAAAATTTTTTTAAAAAAAAAACAGAGCAAAGTCGGAGGTTCAACATCTAACACATTCATTCTCTCTTTCTGAATAACATAATAACCAACACGTACACACACATACATATATGATATAAAAATAAGAATAAGAATATATAAAAAATGGCAGATTACGTTCTCACAATTGCTTCGTTTATGGCAGTTATTTTATGTATAATACCTGGTATATTTCACATACAAAATAAAAATTGGGGAGCAATATTTATGTCATTTTGGG